AATATATAGAAAGAAAACATCATCCAATATGTATGCGTATCTCATATCTATTCATATCAAATTGTATTTTGTACAACTATCTATCATCTTAAACAAAATATATTCAATCGATGATTACAAAATAATTCATTTATATCATTAAAAAAAAACGCCTACCTACAACTCTTTGGATCTACACTGCAAGTATTTTACCCTTTCCTAAAACATGTAAACAAATAGAGTTAATGGACAACTCTGTAGGCTACATGAAAACGACAATTGTATTTATTATTTAATTCAATAAAATCATAACACTATACATGTTATTATCAGTTGAATTAGAAAAAAAAAACTAATCATATATTGAACTAATATATTTCTATGCTTACTCTTATACATGTATCACATTATAGAAAAATGGCTGATTTATGGCAGCATTTTTCATCTTGGAAATCATCAAATTTTTGTCGGAATGAAAAATTTCCAACGAAAAATTTTTCGCCGGTAAAATATATATTGTAAAACAAACACTGATGAAAAATTTTACTCAAATTTTTCCCAAGTGAGCCTACCTAACTGCACACCTGTCAGGGGCCAACCAACAGGGCCGCCTACCTGGGCCAACCCGTAGGCTCGTGCCTATAGCGAAGTTCGAACCCAGTTTGCTTGTGTCGCACCTACCCACGTCAACGCTTGACTGCTACCTGCGTGAGGTTCGAACGCTGCTTCTCCGAAGAATTTCTAATGCCTATCCACTCGGTCGAAAAGAAAAATCTAATGGAGTTCTTATATCATGATATTTATATTTAAATTAGCTAGTTTAAATTAACAATAATTATTAAAACTATTTTATTTATTTTAATAATATTTAATTTAGTTAATTTAATTTGATAATAAATTATCAAATTAGTTAATTTAATTTACCAATAATTATTAAAAAGGTTAAAATTATAAATGTATTATTATTTTCTAGGAAGTTTTAAATTTCGTTAGAAATCCAATGGAAATTCCGCATGTAATTTGCATTTTCCCCTCCTTATAAGGCAAAATGCCATCATGATCAAGATCGTCACGTTGAAGTTATATGATTATGTGTTATTTCATATCATCATGCATATTAATGTATCATCACATGTATTGTATATGTATAGATATTACACATTATAAGTGAGATGTTCTAAAGCATCATGTTTATATACATCAATACTATGCATCATATCATGTTAAGGAGTGTTATCATATATGCTTGCATTATGTATCATATGAAGTTATCATGCATATAATGATAATATGTATGAAAAAACTATTAAAATGATAATGTATTCTTATACATTATCATTTAATATCACATCGTATCATTTGAAGCATCATATCTAAGCATCATAACATTATACACATATATATCCTAAGGTGTAATTTATTACTAATCATGTCATGTCGTTGCACTTGTACAGCATCACATACCAGATATTATAATGTCATATTGATATAACAGTAACAAGGGTCGTCACTTAAATCATAATCATATAATGTCTTCTTAAAATTTTCATCTTCATGTATCGGGTTCATTTAAAGAGAAGTTTTTTAGCCCACCATCTTGCACAGAGTATTATATTATATCATCCATCAACTTGAATTATATAATAGCCAATCTTTTTCTCATATAGACGATTCACATAATATTATCAAAGTACATGAATATACAAGCAGCTAAACCGTTCGACCAACAACCAAATAAAAAAAAATTCATTGCTAAGTATTCAATGTGAAAATAATCGTAACATGTATAAAGTTTGGGATTTTCCACCAGCTAATTTTAAGTCTTTTTTAATGTTTATAAAGTGAAGGAGTTCGATAACATTAAAGGAACATCTTTAATGCAAGCAATTATTCAATTGAATTGGCTTATTAGCTTATGAGATGGATTGCTAAAAAATAAATGTTAACATATAATACATTAAAAATATAAAACAATTATAATATTAGAAAGTAAAGTTGTTACAAATATTTAAAATTTATACATTTCTTCCTTGCATCTTAAAATAGTTTTTATCATTGATGTTTTAATTTCTCGTTCTTTTTATCATTTTATTGTAAGTGCTATTGGAATTGAAATCATTTTTACTCTTTTATAATAAATGATTTGCAAGAGCTCAAACTTTAATTCGATGAATTAGTCAAATTCAAGGTCAAATAAGTCTTGCTAGAGCTTTGACTCATTTAGCTTACTACCTCATACTCAAAATTCTCCCAACTTGGCACGAAGTGGACAAGTTTAGTGTCATATATAGGGGTGCCCATTTGAGTTCTTAGGTTGACTTTTGGTCAATGCTAAATTTGACAGGACCCAACCTACTTGACATGAACATGACTCGAATAATAAACTAGTTACTTGAATCCTACTCAGTAAGAATTTGAATAACATGTAACCGACCTGATTATACCTGCATACATATTAAACTACGGTGTTTCTCGCTGCTTGTAAAGCGGAGAAGAGGTAAACGACAAAAATCCGAAGACGAGATATGAAACCTAAAATCTTTGTAGTTGTGAAAGGCTTGCGGCATGTGAAGAGAAGAAAATGCGAATGATAAAAGATTGAAAAGGAGAACCATAAGTTAGGAACTCGAAATTCTTGCGGCTTGCGATTGTTGGAATGAGGGTTTTCGACCGTATCAATTAGAAGGTAGGTTAAAAAGAAAGTAAGAGAATAGACCATTTGTAACATTGGGGCTTCACGTCCAACTCATTTCCGGGTTAATTTCAGATCAAATTTAGGTCAAAAAACTAATCATGTTAATATTTAAGGTTACAATTAATTTGGATCATCCTTAAGTGAAAAAATTTTAATTGAATTTTGTTGAATTGGGCCACCCGTCACTCAATATCCTAAACTTGGGAAATTATTTTGTATGAAAATACGTTATATCACTCGATAGATAGTAGTATCAAGCTTTGATATTAAATAAAAAGTAACATGACTCATTTTAATTGGTCTAGAGATCCTACACCCCAAAGAATAATTTTTCCCTCAACGCGGGATCGTCGTACACTTAGCGCGCGCTCATACCAAGGCCATTGCTTCCGATCTGACCCGAAAACCTAGGTCGGTCATCGTGGCGTCGTGCGAGCCATGTTGCTCCACTGCTTTCATCGTCACCTCTTTCGATAGATATATATATCACGAAGAACCGATCGCTGTTTTTTATTTCTCCGCGATTCTTTTTCAGTCTGCGCCGCCGAGACTGGTGTCAGTCTCCGTGCTAATACGAAATCTACAACCATGGACTTTAGCATAAGCGGTCGGCGGACTGGAAAAAGCGGCGTCGCCTGTACAGCATCACATACCAGATATCATAATGTCATATTAATATAACAGTAACAAGAGTCGTCACTTAAATCATAATCATATAATGTCTTCTCAAATTTCTCATCATATCTTGTACCGGGTTCATTTAAAGAGAAGTTTTTTAGCCCACCATCTTGCATAGAGTATTATATCATATCATCCATCAACTTGAATTATATAATAGGTATTCTTTTTTGCATATAGATTCACATAATATTATCAAAGTACATGAATATACAAGCAACTAAACGATTCGACCAACAACCGAATAAAAAAAAAAATCTTTTTCACTGCTAAGTATTCAATGTGAAAGCAATCGTAACATGTATAAAGTTTGGGATTTTCCACCTTCTAATTTTAAGTATTTTTTAATGTTTATAAAGCGAAGGAGTTCGATAACATTAAAGGAAAATCTTTAATGAAAGCAATTGTTCAATTGAATTGGCTTATTAGCTTATGAGATCGCTTGCTAAAAAATAAATGTTAATATACAATACATTAAAAATATAAAACAATTTTAATATTAGAAGAGTAAAGTTGTTACAAATTTTTAAAATTTATATATTTCTTTCTTACATCTTAAAACAGCTTTTATCATTGATGTTTTCATTTCTCGTTCTTTTTATCATTTTATTGTTAGTGCTATTGGAATTGAAATCATTGTCTCTTTTATAATAAATGATTTGCAAGAACTGAAACTTTAATTCGATGAATTACTCAAATTCAAGGTCAAATAAGTCTTGCTAGAGCTTTGACTCATTTAGCTTACTACCTCATAGGCACTAAATGGACAAGTTTAGTGTCATATATAGGGGTGCCCATTTGAGTTCTTATGTTGACTTTGGGTTAGTGCCGAATTTGATATGACCCAACTTACTTGACACGAACATGACTCAAATAATAACCTAGTCACTTAAATCCTACTTAGCAAGAATTTGAATAACATGTACCCAATCTGATTATACATGCATACATATTATAAGCTAGGGTGTTTGCGGCTTGTAAAGGGGATAAGAGGCAAATGGCAAAAATCCGAAGACGATATATGAAACCTAAAATCTTTGTAGTTACGAATGGCTTGAGGCATGTGAAGAGAAGAAAATGCGAATGATAAAAGATTGAAAAGGAGAACCATAAGTTAGGAACTCGGAATCCTTACGGCTTGCGATTGTCGAAATGAGAGTTTTTGACCATATCAATTAGAAGCTAGGTTAAAAAGAAAGTAAGAAAATAGGCCCTTTGTAATATTAGGGCTTCACATCCAACTCATTTCCAGGTCAATATTTCATATCAAATTCAGGTCAAAAATTTAATCATGTTTATATTTAATATTAATATTTACTCGGATCATCCCTAAGTGTAAAAATTTTAATCAAATTTTGTTGAATCGGGCAACCCGTTACTCAAAGTCGAGAAATTATTCTGTGTGAAAACTCATCAAGTCATTCGATGCATAACGATTCCGAACATCAATATTGAGTAAAAAGTAATGTAGCACATTTTAATTAATCTCCCGCATAGGATATTTTTTCCCTCAACGCTGGATCGTCGCACACTTAGCGCGCGCTCATACCAAGGCCATTGCCCCAGATTTGACCCGAAAACCTAGGTCGGTCATCGTGGCGTCGTGCGAGCCATGTTGCTCCACTGCTTTCATCGTCACCTCTTTCGATAGATATATATATCACGAAGAACCGATCGCTGTTTTTTATTTCTCCGCGATTCTTTTTCAGTCTGCGCCGCCGACACTGGTGTCAGTCTCCGTGCTAATACGAAATCTACAACCATGGACTTTAGCATAAGCGGTCGGCGGACTGGAAAAAGCGGCGTCGCGCAATTGGGTGTCAAGAGCCGCGTGCCGGGTTTTCTCTCGGATCGGGGCAGTTTTGAGGGGGACGCGAGAAGATGGGCCGAGGGCGGAGGGAGGGAGGGGAGAAGGGGGCAAGATATGGATTCTCTTTATCATCCGTATATAGGCGAGAAAGAAGAGACAGAGATGGACGGAGGGAACTTGCATCCATTGCAGCAGGAACAAGGGGGTTCGGCCGGATTTTTGACGCTGCCGACGGTGCTCACGCTTGGTAGAGTCGCCGCCGTCCCGCTTCTCGTAAGCAGTAGGTTTTGATCCTCCTGTCTTTTCCCCCTCATGGTTTAGTTTCTTAACGTTTGTGAGTTCGCTGTACAACATGGTTTTGACACGATTTTCATTTTGGTTTTATTTATTTCTGATATTAATATTCAAAATGCTATGATCAATGTTGTTTAAAGTTTATGAATTTGAATTAAGCTAACCGCTTTCTGATTTCAGGGTGCACCAGGAATCTTTGATCTTGTTGAAGAGGTCGGAGATCCTCTTTCCCTCTTTTTGGATTCTCTGAATGAGGATAAAACTCCTTTTGTTTAGCTATTCTTTAGGTTTATAAATTTTATTATCTTTTTTTGAGGACCATCTGATTTAGTTTATCGGACATGGCATCGATCTTCTACTGATTGTGACATTTTTGTACCATATGATGGAGTTTCATTAGCCCTCTATGCTTGTTATCTTTCTTGAATGTAACATTGACTCCTTCCAAATTTTCTAACTTTTTTTTTTTACTTTTGTCTAGGGCTACTCTCTGCTTTAAGGCAAATTATTGCGTCAGGTGACCGAACTCTGCCTTCGGTCTCTCTGTCTACGGTAACCTGCGCTTTACTACAGTAAAGCGCAGGTTACCGTAGAACAGAGAGAGACCGAACGCATCTAATAATTTGCCCTGCTTTAAATATATAACATAGAAATAAAAAATTCCATAATCTGTTTTGTTCTTCTTATATGGCTTTTTATGCTATATTTGTGATCCCATCTTTGGTTTAATACATATATACTATTGCCAATCGGAAATGCCGATCTGTAGTTTGTTTTCCATTGATACCGTGTCATTTGAATAAGTCTCATTAAACATTCCCTGGTTTTAGAGACCCTTCGTAGCAAGATCCTCGGTTGTATTGTCTAATCACTGCATCGTTCTTCTATCTTCATACATACAACTACATTAATAACTGTAAATATTATGATATGCATGCCTCAATTTTATTTGGTATATCTGCTTCCTTGGTTGCAAAGCTTGTACTTCCAGTTCAGTATGCTTGCTAACTAACTTGTCTTCCTTGCCTGAGATACATTGCTGTGGGTTTGTTTAATCTCATCTCTTTTACATCATTTTCTTTGGCACCTTGTAATTTTAATTACCTTTTTGAACAAGCCCATACACTATTTCCCAACTTCAGGTGCACTTAATAACAAATCCCCAGTTGTCTAATCTGATCACTATGTTGTTTCTCTCTCACTTACTATTATAATAATGCTTTTGAAGACTTGTGATATGTATTCTTCAATTTTACAAGGCAGATTCTTTTACGTTTCATAATATTTTTGGAGAGAGCATAGTATTGTGGGTGTTATTTGCTCTAGATATTGTGGTAATATGATTGAATAAGTCAAAAGCAATGGCTAAAGAGCTTACCTATATATAGAGCTCTTGTTAATGTGGAGTTTAGGAAGGGGCTGATATTCACTGCTTTACCTCTGCCTTCACGGAGATGAGATACGTCTGCCTAAGCATGGAGATGATAAATTTTATAACGACATTCACAAGACATAATCAATAGTCAATAGCTGAGCCACTTGTTGTAATCAATCTCACAAAATTGTATTTCATAGTATGCTGTTTTTTTTTCTAGAACAGACATTTCCAAGCTTTATTATGAATTCCTTAAAGTTAATGGAGTGAAAAAAAAAAGCTCAATTAAAGTTTCATGTAATTTTTCATTGTGTTCTGTTTCCCTCTCATTTCAATTGAAGTGTGACTATCAGGCTTGATCTTTTTGACTATCCTTAACCTTATTATTTATTAAGAATTTTTTTCTTATTTTTTTCTAAGTCGACTTTCCCTTAACATGAGATGGTTGGAGAATTAGAAGAAGTCAGAAGTCATTATCATGGATTGGAAACTTCATCTATCTTGTAAAGTTAACCTCAATTTGAAGGGGTTTTCTTACTATTTTGTGCATCCGATTTTTGGAGAAGTGATGTACTTTCTCAAACTAAAATACATTGATCAATTCATGTACTTGCTCAATTATGTTTTTCTTGGTGGTTCGGATGAAACTGGTTGGTGAATATAAGTGGAATAGTAGCACATAACTTGAAAGGAATGATTTTATACCTTGTCCATTGATCCTGAGTCGTGGGACCATATAACTCTTTTGTTTTAGGGAAAATCTTGATAAGTTTTGAACATCCAAAACATAATAAATTGTGAAAGTTCAAGTTTTTATTCCTTGCAGTGAAGAAAAACATAGACATAGAATGACACAATACGACCTTGATATAAGGTATGACATTTTAAAGCTTTTGAGCATAATCTCCCGATCACATGCGGATTTTGTTTCAAAACACATGATAACTAAACATAGCAGTTTTTTTTTTTTAATTTCAAACACTTAATAACTAAAAAAAACATGTTTGTTTTTGTAGGCATTGATTATTTCTTTGTGTGCTTTCAATTATTTATAGTCACAAGGATATTAAGTGCATTCTCCTCGTTTTAAGAACAAATTCCAAATTTTAAGTCCTTTCGAATAAATCTAAAATTATTGCAATGCATTTATTTTTTAAGACTTATTTGTGGTGGAGCTCTAAAATTGCATCAAATATTTTAATTTTTATATGGTTGGAAGTTGAGCTTTGGCAAGTACCACTGGATACAACTCAAATGTGTGATTTATAATGTTGAACATGAAAACATTGGATTGAGGAAAAGAGGGTCTTGAAAAAGAGGAGAATAATATGCAATAGTTCTATTAGTTCTGAAATGTTTATTTGAAAAATCCACTACTAAAATAGATAGGCAAAAGTAATGTTGATGGATGAGAAAAGAAGAGGGTTAGTGAAGCAAATCTCCTTCCTATTGCGAACTTGTAGGTATTCAGCAATAGTCCGTCGGTCTTGTGCTCCTTGCCTGATCCTGTTCATGTTGCTCCCGTGCCATATCCCTATCACTACCTTTGTTTCATGTTGTAGTTGTTATGTTCTCATGCTTATGCCTTCTTAGTCTATGTTTACTCTCCGCTGCTATTCCTGCTATTATTCACCCGTGCTTTTGATTATAATATGTTGTTGCTCCTTCACATGATTTTAATGCTTGGATGCATTAATTCATTTGTTAGATCATGCATGTTTTTGTGGGGTGGGTTGCAGCTTTTTAATGTCAATTTGTGTTCGAAAAAATTCAAGGATTATTAACTTTATTTTTTTAATGGTTATAAATATTACATTTTGTGGCATGTAGAGGATAGTTTTTGCTTTATAAAAATTTCAATTTTCTCTTAGACTTGTGTGCTTGTTTGATGCTAATTTCTTCAAGTGTGGTATGCAATTATATATTTCTTGGGTTGTCTTCTTTTTGTACTGATACGAGGCTTCAATTTCCTTATTCAATGATGCTTTACCTTGTTATCTTTCACCCAAATGATTTGATATTGGTTTCACCAGTTGCTTGATTTGAGTCAAAATAGCCATAATTGGATTTCTTATAGCGGAGTGAATCCTAATTGAATTGTGATTTTTTTTGTTTCATGATTTCATTGAATTTCTATGTTAATCATTAGATTTTTATTTGGGGTATATTTTATGTAGTTCTTGCTTGCATCAAAAGAGAGCAAGTAATTTTTTAATTGATAATCTTTGCAACATAATTTTAAATATTAATTGCTTTGGATTCATTCATTGCCTTGTTTAATTTCATTAGGAACCATAGATCCTGAGATATCCTACATTGAATAGGAATTAAAGCAAAAATTTTTCACCATCTTATCAATTAGAAGCAAGAAATAATAGTTGGCTCAATCAATCAAACAATAACTAATACAATTTAAACAAATTGGGCAAGTTATGGTTCTAGACACCTACAACACATTTATCTTTAGGCTTAAAATTATATTTATGCATTTGATAAGAGATATAATCTTAGTACGTTTGATTCCTAAAAAGTTGAATGTGGTAAGGGGCTATTTAGTTGGATGTATTTTGGGCCTAAAGTAAATCAAATACAGGGGTTTTAAGTTTTAAGTGTTTGGTTTGATATAGGCCCAAAATCTCAACACTCGACATACTTTACAAAGGCTATGACATCACTATTGGCATTCAAAAGATATATTCTTCATTATTTATTCTCCATATATATATTATTATCAAGCACCTAAACTCTCATGACGGAAACAACTGGAATTATAAAATAATAATCAAACCGATGACATTGCTAAGGAATGAAACCCGCTAAAAAGTGCTAAAGTTACAAAATACCAAATTCTTCAATTCTAATGTAAATAAATCATTTGTTTAACTCCTTTCGTATATACCCACTCTTTGACTCTACTAGTTTTGATAAGAAGAAATGAATCATTGTTGTGTTCTTGGATAAGTTATCATATATGGCATCCATCTTTTTCTCAAAAAATCCTGGAATGCTAGATAATTTTGTCATGAGCTCAATAAACATTTTTCTTTTTTCAGAAGCTCTTGTTGTTGTTTGAATTGCATTTGCAATTTAAGCTACACTATCAACCATCTTGATAATATAGTCACGGAGACTATGATCATCAATACGCCTCTTATTATTTTTCCTATAGATGGGACCCTTAGAAGATGATGTGATGGGGACATCAGTTCATCATGGAAAGTTTACCAGCGATGTGGCCGCCAATCTACGACCATGATCGATTCGTTATATTTTTGAGTCGATGTATTTTATTTTCATGCATTTTATTATTTGCTTATGTGTGTTTATTTATTTTCCCTTTGTACCCTTTTGTATGGGAGTGGTCATGTGTAAGCCTAAGGGCATTTGTGTCATTTTTTATTTGGAGTCTTTTGTATGAGGCTATTTAAAGCCCCTTTGTATTATTATAGTAGTCTCTATAAAGTCAAATATCTTAATCTATTGAATATCAAATGGAGTTTGGCAATTTCCTGACCTAGCTTAATCTTCCGTTCTTGCCCTTCCCCATAAACTTTCTCATAATTCTATATAATTTGAGACACGAATATTCAAATAGATTGCATCTTTGAGAAAAGCCTATAATTATCCATAATAGAAAGCATTAGCATTAGGTCTTGTTATATTTGTAAAAAAAGTAATCTAAATTTGAAATTTTAATTGAATGAAAGATAGAAACACATTTTGATCCATCTGACTATCATCCTCAATTACTCCAAACTTATTTTTCAACTCTTGGATGTAATTTCATATAGTTCTTTGATTTAAAATTTAATTGTTATATTGATTTGTTATAACGTTAATCCCAAATTTATCTTTTAACTTTTGAGCAGCATTTTGATAGACAACATCTTTGAAGCCTTGAGCATTCCTCATATTTGCATAACATACTCACACATTATTTGTATTAACTCAGCTACCCATTCAAATTTTAGGCTCTATAATTTTTTTTGGGGTCTTTTTGGATTTAGCACTGAGTGCACTAGATGGTTGTTGTGATTCCATTAATCATGTAAATAATAATAATAATTAGTATGCAAATAAAAGTATAAATTTGAACTCCACAAAAAAATAAATTGATTCATACAAAACTATTTAGAAGTCATGTGCATTTCTATCTAAACCATCATTCTCTTCATTAGAGGCGCCTTGATTTTAAATCGAAAATTATTATAATTTTTAGACGATGAAGTTTGGGTGATGGTTTTTGACGATGGTAGTCAAACAATGATGAATGGATTATAATGCTAAGAGATGGTAGTTAGACGATGATGGTGGTTAGATAAGTGGTTCCTTGCTGTGATCATCAAAGTCAAGTGGTATATAAAGCTCTAGAATTATTAAGGTATCAGCTACCCATTCAAATTTTAGGCTCGATAAATTTTTTTTTGTCTTCTTGGATTTAGCACTGAGCGCACTAGACGGTTGTTGTGATTCCATCAATCATGTAAATAATAATTAGTATGCAAATAAAAGTATAAATTTGAACTCTACAAAAAAATAAATTGATTCATACGAAACTATTTAGAAGTTATGTGCATTTCTATCTAAGTCCTCATTCTCTACATTAGAGGCGCCTTGATTTCAAATAAAAAATTATTACAATTTTTAGACGATGAAGTTAGGATGATGGTGTTTGACGATGGTAATCAAACAATGATGAATGGATTCTAATGCTAAGCGATGGTAGCCAGACGATGATGGTGGCTAGACAATAGTAGTTCCTTGCTGTGATCATCAAAGTCAAATGATAAATAAAGCTCTAGAATTATTCATGTCTCCAAGTTCTTTCCAGAATAAGTCAATGCCCCTCTAATTTATTTTGCTCTGTATACACCTAACCAAATAGCCTCTAAGTATTAAAAATGTATTGATTTTATTTTACTCTACTTATACCCAATTAAAAAAAAAAACCCTGCATTCACTTTACTGACAACTGACAGCCAAATAATACCAAAGTATTTACTCTGCGAATCTCTTTAAAACAACTGAAATGTCCATGGTTTGCTTTGCTGCCATCCCTTACAAGTTTATGATGCAAGTTAGATTTGTCGTGATATTATAGATGATGAAACGATCTTTAACGTTATAAAACATATGATTATTGAAGTTTAAAAAATATTGTGAAGCTTGGGGATTTTGAAAGTGGTTTTGTCTCATGCCTTTTCTTTTGTGATATTGACTGGTATGGGAGTATTTTCCCTAAGTACTTAAAGTTTGCTAAAACCGTTCGTAATTATTTCTAAATAGCAAATTGATGGTTCATCTATCTGCATTTTTAATATTTTACCTTTTTATTTGCTTCCAAAAGAGGTTAACATGTTTTATTTTGTATATAGCCTATCACATGAATGGTTCATGGGCTTCAACTTTAACTAGCAGCATCTTTCTTGTCGCGGCACTTACAGACTGGCTGGATGGTTATCTGGCTCGTAAGGTGTGTAAAAATCAGTTAGGTCTTCGCATTCGTCGCTGCGGTTTGATTTTCTTGTTGCGTCTTTGATGACCGTTTTCCTGTATAACAGATGCGGCTAGGAACTAGGTTTGGTGCATTTTTGGATCCTGTAGCCGATAAGGTTTATATTCTTCTTCAGTTTGTAACATCTATATTTTGGATGTCAAGTGACATAATAAACCCAGTTTCTTTTCTGCATGATGACTAAACACAGCTTATGGTTGCTGCCACTTTGGTATTACTGTGTACGAGACCTTTAGAGGTGGCCATCTTTGGAGAAGTTCCATGGCTTTTGACAGTCCCTGCAATTGCTATTACTAGTAGAGAGGTCTGTATGAACAAAAAACTGGTTCTAATTTCCTTAAATCTAACCAATCTACTGTCATGAACTACATATAATTTCCTTACCATTTCAGATAACAATGTCTGCTGTCAGGGAATGGGCTGCCTCACAGAGTAGCAAGCTTCTTGAGGTTAGAAAGAGGGATTTACATACATACCCCAAATTTCTATGTATTTATTTATCTAATTTCTAAATCTTTATGTTTACTTATATAACTCTCAAATCTTCAAATCACATAAAAAATATCACTAAAATCAATTTATTTAAGGTAAAACATAACTTTTTCATCCGCTATGTAAATATAAAAATTTAGTTGCTAGATATGTAAATATATAATAATTTTATAGAGTATATATATATATATATATATATGCTAAGTTCCCCTAATTTTTTTCATTACGCTTCATTTTTCATGCTTTTCCTCAAAAATTGGAGATCTTATTTCTACAGCATCTGATTCTGGAAAATTATTGCGAGCGGTATCCGGATTTGTTCAGAGGCCTACTGCATCCGGGTGACATGGCAAGTCCGGATTCGCCTCCGGACGGTTCGGATGCCACAGGCAATAATCTCTCCTGATTTTGACTAACTGCAATGTTTTGTCAGGCAGTTGCGGTCAATAATCTTGGAAAATGGAAGACAGCAACTCAAATGACAGCGCTAACAATACTCCTCATTATCAGAGATCCCAGGTTTGGTGATTCTCCCATCCATGTTTCCAACTTTTTAATGATATTAACAAAGAAATAAATTGATTATCTTGTTTTGTATGGCTTATCTGGTGCTTTGAACAGCCTCACAGGGCCAGGCTTTCTAGTGTCTACAGGTGTGTTTCTCCTGTATGTTTCTGCTGGTCTTGCTTTATGGTCATTAGCAGTGTACGTGGGGAATGTATGGAGCTTCTTGATTAAGTAATCGCGTTCGACGATCAAATCAAGAAAACATAGGAAATGGATAATCCTTTTTAGCTAACTTGTTCGGAAAGATGGAAATTAGCCTGTTACCTATTTAACTGTAGGCAGGAAGATAATAGTGGATATTATGGTGAAGAAACAACATACTAAATTTAGGAGTTGTGCTCAACATTGAAGAAGTTTTATTATCCAAAATTTTTATGATTGTAGCCTTTCTATCTTCTTTAAATAGGAGATTTTAGGTCTCAATACGTAGAAGAGTAGTTATTTGGGGTTTATATGAATTGTTATAAAGGTGGCTGATATTGTGTCTTAATTTCATTGTTGACTTTAGAATGGTACTTCTTTTATACTTTATTCATACTTGAATGCTGATTGCAATTTACATAAATCTTTGAATCTTTTCTCAGTATTAAGTTTACAAATATATATATTTCAAACGCCATCAACATTAATCTCAACTGGCAATCAAGCTTTCTCTATGATGGAAATTTCTTGGCCTTCTATTCCTCTTCAAGAGGTGTGCTAAGGTATAATAATAATGATAATAATAATTATAATGATATGTGCAGCCACAGCCAATCTCATCATTTGATTACCGGAAGGAGAATTTTAGATGACATATGCAAATAGCCCCTAGCATAAATATCTAAATACAGAAAACATTCATGTAATTATAGATGAATAGATACATATTTTATGCATATGACCAACTCAAAATATTCATTTATAAATCATTTTAGACCTTAATAACGTGGGCTGATGAGATGGGTGCAAATAAGTGCCTATTGCTAGGCAAATTATCTCTATGTCTAGAGACGAATTAAATGCAACCACGTCAATAATACCGAGCTGTGATACCGAGTGAATGTGTGATGTGATGAATTCTGATTGATCTCCATACAACGTTAGCTGTCCGCACATAATAATTAATCCTAAGGATGAACATCTAATAAAAAATATTACCATTTTCTTTATAACATCAAATTAGGAAAGAAACTAATGAGACATGAAAAAGGATATAGATAGATCAGCATGAAAATGAATAGTACACAGATCTAATATTCAACAGCAAGCGTAAATTGCCCTCTAACCAAAAAGTAAAGGCATGCATCAGCAAAAAACTAAATGGAGAACAAAATATTTGCAAGCCAAAAATTTCCTACAATAGTGTGGCTGCAGAGTATGTTTGAGAATATTTGATGCGTCCATTGAAAAAAACAATACACAAAAAAAAAAATCCATGTAGACATTCTGTGTAACAAACCATCTACACCATGAACAAGCCACCACTCCACAAATAATGTCAAGGTGAAGCAGCTTCAGCTTCAACAAAATCAGACAAGAAGCCAACTTGTTAGCTAACCAGAATCTGCAAAAAGAACGAAGCGCAAGTTATTCAGGCAATAAAGTGAGCAGAAAAATAGTGAAATAATATGAAGGGGCAGTTGAAATAAGTACTCTGGTGGCTTTAGCTGCCAAAGTTATAGGCCTTAGGAACCACCTCCTGTCTCAACCGTGGCTGCCTTCTAAATTTGAACAAGACAGAAAAATAAACTTCCAAGTAAAGCAACCAAGCTCCTCTTGCATTAACTACATCTTAAGTTGAATGCTGACCTTGACATTGCTATCAGATGAAGAATTAGATGTTCCTGAAAACCTGTGGAAGTTAATAAGAGAATTTTGATGAAATCACTCTATCAGCACTCGAGCATGTAGAAAAATCGATTCAAAGATGTGACCAAACTGGGACAAATAAAAACCTTGCAGCTCTGGCTTTACTTTTCTCTTCTTCCAAAGCATTTGACTTTGGTTTCTGGGAGAATCTCTCCAAACGAGCCTTCTTCTTTGCAGCTTCATCAGTTGAAGGATGTTGGGCAAGTCCAAACCTGAGAAATGATAAAGAAGTAGTAATACGGATGATCTGAGAATACGTATACCGTACATAGGTAAATCCATGTTATCAATGGGTGGCTGCTAAGCAAAAAGTAATTAAGCTTATTAATAGTCTTCACAGGAAAAAGCAACTGGGTGAGACCTCTCTGCCCGAGCCTTCCTCTTCTGCTCCTCTGAAACTCCCACATCTTTTCCAGAAGAGGGTGAATTAGTGCCAAACCTGTCACAGAAATCAAAACTAAATGATCGATCTGTGGTGAAAAGACATCCATGTTCCATTCTGGTATAAAAATGATGCAAGCAATATAACGTCGGTTTCAATGAAATCCCATAAAAAATGAAACTAATCTCTAATTCTCTATGGGTTGATTTCCAAGTTATCTTAACTCCTCCATCGATAATCCTAAATTACTTATTCCATAAAATGTTGTTTCGAGGAAAGATATTCCATCTAGTGCAAACCAAGGAAAAACATGACTTGGTTATGAAATCCAAAATAAAATACGTTCAAAAGATGGGGAAAAAAACAACAGCAACGAAGCAATAAAGGGTTCTGTGTTGAAGCCACTTGATACATATCTCAACCTACCTAACCACCACAACTTCTCTTATCATCCCATTCTCTTTTCAGTCTTTTGCCTCCCCACAACCTCAAGCTCCCTCCTATTTCCGATTCGTAGATATAATAGCTAGAGACCCCACACATGGCTGCTTTATCTTTTTTCATTCTTTCTTACTGAATGTTATTTGAGGTGCTAAGCTTATTCTTAGCAAATCATTTTGCCAACTTACATCTATATAACCTTATGTTTACTCATTTATCTTCATACTCTTCTTACATTAATTTTCTCAACATGTCCGTAGGCATATTTTCCATCTCTTAGTTGTACATGTCCAAAGCACTTAAAATCTATTTTTAGTCACATTTTCAATAAATGTCACTTTAGCATTTCCTCTAATCTAAACATTTCTTAATTTATCCTTCCTACTTTTATCACACATCAATTTTAACATTTATATTTCTATCACACTCGATTTTCATATCAATGATTTTTTTATAGCCCAACATTAGGATACAAACATCATCAGCCAGATTACGATATAAACTAACCTTTAAACCTCCATGATATCATCTAATCACATAAACTCCATAATCATTTCTCCATTTTAAATATTTAGCCTTAAATAAAAAAGTTATATCCTAATCCTTCAACGTAATAGATTCAAAGATATTTAAATTCATCATACCTATGTATCAAACCTGCTAAAATTATATATTATATGCTCAATCTTTGTTATACAAATTATAATATCCTTATCTTCTAAATATTAACTCCAATTGTTTTTATTTTTTTTACTTATTTCAGTTAATGCATCATTAAATAGAACTATAAATATCAACTTAAAAAAATATACACCAAGGCACCTTCCTTTAAATATATTTTATAAACATTTCTATAACAAATATAAAAAATTATAAACCCAAAGTTAATAATTCATGTAAACCCATTGATAGAAAGAGCTGACAACTTTATAGTTATGTTAAATTAATGCCTCACTTGCATTAGGTGGTTTTCTTTGCATGAAGCGGCAGATGAAGGAATAGTACGTCTAAAGGTTGCTGATGTGAGGGGGCCGAAGTAAGTAAAAGGAGAAGGCTTAAGATGCTATTGGTTGGATATGAGTGGATGAGAGGATTGAAGAGCTTGGAAGAAATGGTTGGGTTGGCTTTAGTGGGAAAAATAGTTGGATTTATAGCTGAGACAAGTAAAATGAAGGATATATGAGCCTTGCAAGACTCATTGAGGATGGTTCGCAAACAAAGCCTAACTTTCAAACACGACTGCACAAATACATAATGATTTGATAAGCAATGAAAAAGTTTCTTTTTCATTCCTCGTATCATCAATATTTATAGTACAATGACATATTAAAGTTCAAAATTCAAAAGCTAAAAAATTGTAGTTATCTTAGTCATCCATTCAGGAATGAAGCCTTATGTAACTCCCTCATTGTGTTTTTGTTTGAGATGGCTTATGCTTTCAGCTTTTGTTGTTAAAAAACTTATTTCCCTACCTTGATTTCAAACATGCCATCCAAAAGCAACTTCTCAATGTAAAATTTTGAAAGCTCTAAAAAAACTATCGAAATTGACACAATTTTCTATTGGGGCTGCTTTTTCTACCACAAAACCTATCTAAAACAAAACTTAACTACTTATTAAACAACTACTTTGACGATGCCTGTAATGATCGTGAAATGTAATTCCCTTGATTTCAGTTTTGTAACTCCTTGAAGTTGAATCATCCTTGAATACGTATGAAATTGCTACTTTGATGATGTTTGTAATGATCTTGAAATATAGCTTCCTTGATTTGAATTTTGCAACTCCTCTTTGAGTTTGAATTGCTCAATCCCTTGCATTAATGGGAGACCCTGAATGACTTCACCAAATTATAAAAGGACTTCATTAATTCAACTCACTTCAAAAGTCCAACTACAAATAACTTCCAACTAATACAACTCAACCAACTTTCAACTAACTCTTAACAAAGTTAACTAACTTATAAAATCAAGATTATAATAATTATTTATGATGAATATAACATCAAGATGAACATGATGCTACTTAGTTAAATATCATTGATGTGATGCATCAATTCTCTCCCACTTAAAAATTCAGCTCTAAAAAGTTTAAATTGATGTAATGAGATGAGGGTCAATAGTCCATGTAATTATAAGGGTGATGAAGTGTCTAGTTGTAGCTACATCTTGTATTACAATGTTTGTAGCTGCTGAGAAATTTGAATATAAAGAGAACTATAAAAGTGGGCCTATTTCTCCTCCAAGTGTGTTGGTCTCCCAATCCCAACGATTTATGAATCCTTTTAAATGGTAGAATATTATTTTCAATGACAGCAAGAGTGTAAATCATGTTAAAATATTAAACTATTAAAATAATCATTCAATCCAAGGGTCCTATGTAACATGTAGCATTTTATAGTTGCACAACTAGAGGAATGAATGTGATATAAAGTGTAAGCACTATAATTATACTCATGAGTTGAATTATTTTGAAAATTAGCTATTATATATTTATCATGTTCATGTGAAATGGTAGTAGCACATGTCAGTGAAGATTAAGGAGAATGTTGTATTAATAATAAAGCAATAATATGAAATGAGTGACGCACTAGATCAATTTGTTAGGAGATCAAACAAATGAATCATCTATAGTATTATGCACTTAATGCAATTACTGTGGTAGATCAGATTAGATAGGTAACTTGAGAGTGAGGTCTAAAGTAGCTTGAATGTTTGAAATCACAAACAGATGCATGTCTTAGGTGCCAAAGATATATCATCCCTCACAAGAAAGATAAAGTTAAGTAGTGGTTTACAAAAGGATGTATATGTAATTCATAAGGCAAAGGCACATCATATCCTTCATAGTAAGGACATCTTTCAAAGAGAAAACTAAGAGACTTATCATTAGAATCATCATTATCAAACGGGTTGCCCAAACTATATGTACCATAAGAAATAACTTTGATGAGCGATGATTTGAAGTGCCTAGAATGGTTTGCTGGTTATTAAAATGCAATAACTTAACAGTAGGTTCATTATGGCGTACAAGCAAATAATCTTGAAGCAAAGTATTTATGTGACCCTTGTCAGAAATGATGTGTTCTCCCATGCTGGAAAGCCTCTTTAGAAGATTCTTTTTTTTTTGTCGTTTTAACTACTTTCAATGGAGTTAGTAGAAGAATCAATCATTATCAGTTTCTCTTTCTAGTTGGGGAAAAGAATCATGAGATACAAGTTGGTGTCTTTATTAAATTTGATTGACGAGAAAGTTTGGAAATATTGCTTTTATGTTTAAAGATAAAATATTATAAAGACTGCCACACATAACATTCTTTTCAAGAATCATGTCTCTAGAAGGATATGTATCATGCCCAAAAGAAGGGATTTTGTTTTCAATTATCAAAATAAAGAATATTTCATGATAGATAAAGAAGCTAATTTTGAAAGCACTAGGACAAACAAATAAAGAAGAGTGTTTTAGCTGTAAATAATGAAAATAATATTAGTGCATGAAAGAGCTTTCAAAGTCTTTAAGCAATTATCAAAAACTCACTTCCATTAATAATGACAAGCATATAAAATTTGAGAAATAAAAAAAGAACCAATCAAGAAAATATTACTCAAGAGTTTACGATCTAAATCACATTCATGGGTTTTGCAAGTTTATCAAATGGATCACACTAGTCATAACATGTAACTTTCTAATAAATAAAATAGTGGGGTCAGTCTCGACTGGTTTAGGCGTTGAGAAAACATAAAATGAGCACGCTAACATCCTTTACATCTAAGAAAGTAACTAAATTATCATATTAAAAACAAATCAAAAGGTGAGGTTTGGAAGAGGTTACCCACAACTAAAAATGAGATTTACCACTTGTTGAAATCAATATGGAAGCCTTGTTGATGTTGTCTCCTTGTGCTTTCCAATTCTTCTAAACATGTCTCTCATACAAAAAATAATGGAGAGGAGATGACAACTCTGCAGCTAAGGTGGTAAATTAATGCCTCATGAGCATTCAAGACTATGGTTAAATATAGGGGAGTGAAAAGTAGTTTAAGAGCAAAAGAAGAGATTGTAAGGCTTGGGATAAATGGTTGGGTCGGCTCAATGGGAAAGCAAGATGGATTTAAAAGTGAGATAAATGAGAAAAATGATATGGTGTGCCTCAATTAGCATGATTCGCAAACCAAGCCAAAGTTTCAAACATGCATACAAATATATACAATGATTTTATAATCAAGGGAAAAGTTTCTTTCGTTTTCTCACTTCATCAATATTTCTAATACAATGACATCTTCAAATTCAAAATTCAAAAGTAATAAAAAATGAAATTACCATTAATTATCCATTCATGAATGAAACTTGCATAACTCCCAAATATGAATTTGAAATCCCAATTGAATGATTATGAAATTGCAACTTCAATGAAACTTATAAGATGAACTCCCTGATTTGAATTTTATAACACAATGAATTTGAATTATGTTACTCTCAAATCTGAATTTGAAATCCTCTTAAATGCTTATGAAACTGACACTTTGATGATGCTTGCAATATAATGAAAAGTAAATCCCTAACTTCGATTTTGTAACTCTTGAATTTGAATTGTCATATTTGAATTTGAAATCCTC